GTGCTGAGAGCAGAAGGACGCGGGAAGGGTTGCAGGACACAGACGAGCCCCGTGTGAGGCAGAGGTGTGGCAGCCCTGGCACACAGATGAATGCTGGGTGCCTTCCTGGGGTCAAGATGGAGAAGGTGTATAGGGAGGAGGCAGAACGAAGCCCGCTGAAGGCTCTCTGGGGTCTTCGCTCCCCCACATCAGCTGCCCGTCCAAGGAGCTTCTGTCGCTGCTCCCACCCTGCCCCCAGCCCACTCCTCCCCTGCACTCTGAGCAGGCACAGGTATGTGCTCCAGGCCTCCTGACAAGACACGGATGGACACCTCATCGTAGGGGGCCTGTGGGGGCCTGGAGAGTTCTGCACTCCCGAGCTCCCGAGCCAGGGGCGGCCAACAGCAGACTGAGAAGAGCGGCTAAGCCCCTGCCTGCTCCTCTGCCCCTTGTCAGCTGTCCTCAGGCGACGCAGGGTAGAGGCCCTTGTCTGTCCTATTCCTACAAGGGCACGGTCACTCGGGCTCATTAAAAGAGACCTGTGTGCGTTTTGATGAAGGAAACCTTGGCTAGTTCTTGCTGGTTCATACGAGGTGGGGAGGGGTGAAGGCAGAATGAGCTCCTCCTGCTGCCCGCCCACCTGTGTGCCTGGCCCCAGCTCAGCCAATGGGCAACAGCTTAGGGTAAGAATCCCGTGCTGCAAACGAAAGGCACCTGCCATCTCCTGCCCTCCAAGGAGAAGCCTTGCAGCCCACACTAGACCACCAATGTGGCCTCTGGTGGCTCTGGTTCAGACACTGCAGATCCCCACCGTGACGTCAGCCCAGCCCGGCTAGGCACGAGGTGCAGGTGAGGGCTGAGTCCTCCATGGAGAAGCCCTTATCGGGAGCGAGGCTGCCTCCCAGGGCCGCCACCACCTGCGACTGAGAGGAGCTCAATCCTGAGCAATGCTGGGACACCCAGCACCTTTGCCACACTTGGTACAGGTCTCTGCCCCTCCTGATAGACCCCGTGCAAGACAACGTGCAGCCCCGCCAGGGAGGACTTGGAGAAGGGCTGGGGCCTGGTAACTAAGCTGGCTGGGATCCAGTACTCCATGGCTCTCTTGAGCTGCCCCCTCCGAAGGTCTGGGTGCCCTGCCAACCTGCTGAAGGCGGCCCCGGGCTCACCTCACTTGGGCGTCTCTGCCAGGCCCCAGGCACATGGCTACCCTGAACTCAGATCACCTAGGCCTCGTCCCCACTCTGCCTTGCCCACAGCCCCGTCCCACAAGCTCCCAGCTTCCCCCCAGGTGAGAAGTAGCCCTCGAAGGGAAGATATCGCTGAACCCCCAGGGCTTAGCCCAAACTTCAGCATGGGAGATCTTTCCAGAGAGTTGGTATTGGCTGGGGAGGGGGCTGTCTGTCCCACTCCTGGTACAGCCAGGAACTAGAAGTTCCACCCATCCAGGCTCAACACCCAGGTCCCACGGGTCCCTTCACCCTGGAATTTTACCAACAAGGGGGAAGGACCCGTGGTCAGGCCTAGCAGGGAGCTCTGCCCATGGTGGGAGGTGCCCAGCTCCAGGCCTCCCTGACCCCATAACCTGCATTTGGGGGGGGGGGTGCGTGATGGGTCCTACCAGAAGCTGGCAAGGGCCTCTCCCCCAGGAGCTACTCCTGGCAACTGTCTCCAGTCCCGGCCCCTGCTGGCCTATTGCTGCTGCTAGTTCTGCTACTGTCCCTATCCCTCCCCTGCCCCCTATGGCCTGCAGAAGAGGTCCCCCAGATAAGGGGGGCAGTGGCTGGGGGGCCCCGTACTGGGTTGAGTGTGGTCTGGCTCTGAGAAAGGTGATACAAATGAGCCCACTCACTTTCTGCCTCTCGGAGAATTGGCAGGGGCCCCCTGCAGCTGGACTTGGGCCTCCCATAGTCACTGCAGGGTGGGGCAGGGGGTCCTTTAGCTCCTCCCCCAACACACACCACATCCAGGCCCTCTGGGCACCTCCCCTGACCTGCCCTCTCTGCCCACAGCTGTGTCACCCACGGGCCTCTGCCTACCCAAATCCCTACCTACACCACCTGCCCACTTCTCAGCTGCCCCACCCCCAACCCATCTACCAAAGCATCCCCCCAAACACCGTCCTTTCTGGAGGGAGCTGCCTCCTGGGAGACCCAGTATGGCCTATGGCCCAGGGCCTCTGAGAGGGACCTTCCCCAGGCCTTGAGCAGCCCTGCCTTCCTGCCCGTCGCTCAGCTGCCTCCTGAAGCCAAGTGCCTATCAGCAGCATTGCGTCCTCTGGGGGCCCTGGTGGGGGTGCAGACGGACCTGGGCCGCCACCACTGAAGGAATGTGCCAGAATGCCCAACCTTGTTACCACTGCTATGACTGTGCCTTGAATAAACGAGTCCTCCCAACCTCGCTGGCCCGTGCCTCTGCCTCTGCACCAGCACGCGGGCTCCCCTCCACCTGGGAGGAGCCCACCCCACCGTGCAGGCTGCAGCTCTGCTCCCAGAGCTTTCCAGGACCTGCCATGGCCCCGGGCCCGCAGGGGAGGGCCTGGCCAGTGCTCCCTGTCTGGCAGACAGGAAGTGACCGCCACACTCTGTGTCCCAGTGGTGAGAACTTCCTGAGTCCCAAGCTACCCAGGAAGCCATCAGGGCAGCCTCCCCTGGGCAGCGGAAGCCTGGGTGAGTGCTAAGCAGGCAACTGACCTAGACTAGCAGGTGGCTTAAAAAGGCCCACCTGCAGGTGGGGGCCCCTGAAAGAGCAGCAGACAAGACTCAGGTCTGTGCTGGGGAAAAGGGGACACAGGAGGTTGAGGAGAGGCTGGGCATCAGGGAGGTTTGGGGCAGCCAAGGGAGGCCTTTAGCAAAGGCTGTTGGAGCTGTGGCAAGGAGAGAGAACAGTCCCTGCCCTGGGGACATGTCTCTGGTCAGGAGACCTGAGTTCTGACCTTTCCTGGCCTGGCCACCGCACCCAGGAAAGTCGGGGTAGGAGGACATGAGGTCGCCTCTGCACCATGGTTGAATGGGGCACGCTGGCTGGGGGCAGGGGGAGGGTGTTGGAGAAGGGAAGACTCCCTGGCTTCTGCTCCCCTTGGGGACAGAATGACTGCCCTTGCCACTGCCACCACTGGACCCTCAAGCATCACAGTCGGCAGCGGAATGTGGGCCCAAAGCCCAGCCTAGCGTGATTCTGATGTGCAATTATCTCCTAAGTCAAGGCAGATGGAACCCACAAGGACTGCCTCAGAGGAGAGAGACGTGGTGAAAGGTCCCGGGGGAGCGGGGGATGGACACCAGGCCACCTGGTCCAGGCGAGGGACCTTTCCTGAGACCTACAACAAACACTTCTGTCACAACAGCTGCCTCTCAGGGGCTCTGGGCAGCCTCTGGGGTCCCCCAGATCACAGGACTTGGCTTAGCGCACATCCTGGGAGCCTTGGCTCAGGCAGAGACAGACACAGAGAAGCTGAAGGGGGTGCTGCAGGGTCAGCAGATGGCATGGCGGTTACTCGCTAGACTCCCACATGGTCCAGAGGCTTGAAACTCAGACTGGGTGTGTGTGCGTGGGTGCCCAAAGACCCAGCGGGGAGAATGGAGGAGAAGGGATTGCGGCGTGGACACGGTGGCGGGGTGATTCCTCGCTTTCCCTCTCACCTCTCTGTTTCCCACTCTAGCAAGCTCATGCATTCTAAGGTTAAAAATAATAATAATAAAAGGGAGAGCTACAGCCCCGTTCATGGAGAGCCCTCCCGGAGGGTGGTGCTGCAGGACTCCCTCCACTCAGCAGGCTCAGCCTAGAAAGTGGATATACTTGGCTGGACTGGGGCTGGGGTGGGGCTGGGGAGGGAAGGAGGCCAAGAACCCCGAGAGCTCAGGGCGCAGCCTGACAGTCCTGCCCAGGAGGGCCCTAGAGCCCCCCACTGAGCCCTGGGGCAGACACCATGGGCCTGGGCTCCACGGAGTATCTGCCTGGAGGCCACATCTGGGGTGGTGAGGGGCACCTCCAGGGCCGCTTCCGGCCACTGTCTCGGAGCGAACATGCCGGGGGCAGCTCGGGTCTGTTAGAATGTCCTTCCTGGCTCCACTCCCCATTTCTCAGTCTACTCTGTGGAAGGCCCTGGTAGGGAGGGGAGCCTGGTTGGTGGGAGACAAGTCCCCAGGCTTTTCAGCAGAGGCTGTTTCCTGGACATTGGATGGTCCCTTGGCCTTGACAGCAGGCAGCCCACCGTCGCTCAAACCTTAGTTGCTGGGATTTCCATCCTGCTACAAGTGGGAGTCTCCTGGGAAGGTTTAAACAAACCCAAGATCTAGGCCCCATCACTAGTCAACCCATTCTTTCACCTCTACTTTACAAGAGCCCCCAGGTGACATTAGTGTGTAGGGAGAGGATGGAGTAACCAGCTCCAGCCTCAGGCACCACCGCAGAGACCCAGCTCACCCTCTCAGTCTGCCTCTCGTCTCCCGCATGGTGTGGCCCCGAGCCTACAAATAATTACAAATTTGTAGCACTATGCATGGGATGCTGGACCTCACACGTCGACCGCGGTTCAAATCTCGGCCCTGGTGGATTGAAATAAACACTGGGCAGGACCAGCAGATAGCATAATGGTTATGTCGCTGGACTCCCACTTAGTCAACTGCGGTTTGAGTCCGGGTGTGTGTGCATGTGTGCCCAAAATCCCAGAGATACTGGAGGAGAAGGGATTGCGGTGCAGCCGTCCCTCCAGCGGGTGATTTCTGTGTCTCTGGCGAGCACACACACCTTATAGCAAAAATCTCTCTCAAAAAAAAGAAAAAAACACTGGGCACTTATGCAAGCATGCCTAAAATCCCAACAGGATGAAGAGATAAAAAAGACTGTGAGGGCTGCCAGGTGGTATGGTGACTGGGGTGCTGGACTCCTACATGGCCGACCATGGTTCAAGTCCCAGACCTGGCGGCTTGCTTTCTCACTTTCCCTCTCTGCCTCTCTCTCTGGTCAAATACAAAATAATAATAATAATAAATAAAATTAAGTAATTCTTCAAGAAAAAAAGATTGTGATGTGACCATGTTCCAACAGTGCACTGGGGGATGATTTCTCTCTGGTGAGCTCATGTGCCCTTTGACAATTGAGAAAGAAATAAAGATACCACAAAGAGAACAAGCTGACAGTGCTGGACACGCCCTTAGACGGCCCTGCTTCTCCCACACACTAGTGCATGGCGGAAGGGAGAGGCAGGTATAGTGAAAGGCCTGTTGCAGGTGTGGACCGTGTTTGCCTCCTGAGCTGACCAGCTGCAGACACAAGGGAAATCTGAATCTCGACTGGGCACTGGAGAGGCTGGGCGATACTCTTCACCGTGCCAGGCATGTTGATGGCATTGGTTAAAAGAAAGCTGCTAGAAGAGCCAGCAGGTGGCGTGGTGGTTAAGGTGTTGGACTCTCACATGCCGACAGCGGTTAGAGTCCTGGACCTGGCAGCTTGCTCTCTCATTTTCCCTCTCTCTCTCTCTCTGTCCCTGATGAGTACACGTGCCCTGTAGCAAGTTTAAAAATAATAATAATGATACAATTGAATCTTTTTTTTTTTTGGAGAGGTTTTTGCTATAGGGCGTGTGCGCTCGCCAGACAGACAGACAGAGACAGAGAGACAGAAAGCGAGAAATCACCCCCCAGGGGGGATGGCCACGCCGCAATCCCTTCTCCATTCTCCTCACGGGATCTTGGGCACGCACGCACATGCGCCCGGCGTGAGTTTAAGCCACCGGGTCCGGGACTCGAACCGCAGCAGTTGACTACGTGGGAGTCCAGCGACATAGCCATTATGCTAACTGCTGGTCCCTGAATTATTATTTTTTAAAAAATCTGCTAGAATTTTTACGGGAAAGAACATGAAGTCTTGAATTTGCTTCTAAAAAGGTGGGGGGAACCAGCAGTTAGCATAATGGCTATGTCGCTGGACTCCCACGTAGTTGACCGCGGTTCGTGTCCCAGACCTGGTGGCTTAAACTTACACCAGGCGCATGTGCGTGCGTGCCCAAGATCCCGAGAGGAGAATGGAGGAGAAGGGATTGCGGCGTGACCATCCCCCCTGGGGGGTGATTTCTCGCTTTCTGTCTCTATGTCTCTCTCTGTCTGTCTGGCGAGTGCACGCGCCCTATAGCGAAAACCTCTCCAAATAAATAAGTAAGTAAGTAAGTAAATAAATAAATAAATAAATAAATAAAAAGGTGGGGAGCAGGTGATCTTGCAGTGCTCACTGCTGATGTCAGGTGAGGAGCGTATAGAGAGGCACTGATCTCTTGGGTTTTGTGTAAACATTTTCCATAATCGAAATCTTACAATAAAGGCATGATTGGGCTGGCAGGTGGGGTGGAGGTTAAGGCACTGGATCCCACATAATTGGTTTATATGGCTAGAGTCCTGGACCCTGTGGCTTGAGCGTGCAGGGCATGTGTGTATGTGTTCCCCAAATCCCAAGAGGAGACTGGAGGAGAAGGGGTTACAGCATGGCTGTCCCTTCTCTCTGTCTCTGTCTCCCTGGTGAGGGCACACACCTTATAGCAAAACTAAAACAATAAAAAACATAACGGGGCGATGGATTCTTTCAAGTGTTCACGACAGAAGAGAAGATGACGTCTAAGATGTGACCCCTGATTCTGGGAAGATGGTATGTCGGTGTTGGGGGGTCGTGTGTTGGGAGTGGGGACAAAGCTGGGCCGAAATAGGTTCCCTTTCTCCCATGGGAAGTGAGGAAATGAAAACGGCATGAGGAAAGACGGCTCTCGGAGAGTTTTGCTATCGAAGGAAATGAAGCAGAGGGGTAGCTGGCCCCAGCCAGGGCGTGTAGGAGGGCTTGTGAGGAGGGACATGGGGGGCAAGGGTGATTCTAGGACTGACCTTGAAAGAGGAGAGAGGAAATGACGCCCCTACACGCGCACACACACACACGTGTGTGCACACAGAAATGGAAGGTGACTCTCAGGAGAGGTGCAAGCACCGGGTGCCTAGGGAGTCTCCAGATACGGTCAGGCCCTATAATATGTATATTTTACCTTCTCATTTTCTCTTCCTATCACCTTTACACAATGTCTGTCTCACGGGCACCCGTGGGGCTCCAGAAGGTGCTTTGGAGCTGTAGCGGGAAAAGCGTTCCTAACCCAGCACTGACCCAGGGTCTGCGGTCTCATGGCCCTGCATGGGTCACCTAAGCTTAAAGATGAGGCCCAGCTGGGAGCCAGCAAGCCCTGCAAAACCAGCGTGTCCTGCCTCAGCTGAGAAACTGAAGCCAGGGGCAAAGGCAACCACCCAGGAGCAGCCCCTGCAACCTCGCAGCCTGGCTTCAGGCCCACTGCTGGAGGCCCGGGGCACGTGGGTTAAGCCCAGATGCTCAGATGGGGCCGCCCCCAGTGCTGTTCCCCATCCTGGTCTGGCTGTCTCTGGCCCACCGGCCTGTGGACTCCCAAAACCCCCACCAATGAACTGCTCCACTGTGGGTTTGGGTGGGCATGTATTGTCACTAACCAACCCCAAAATGTGAAATGGCACCAACACAAGAAAAGTGTGTGTCCCTTTCCTGTGACATTCAAAATGGGTGGCCCTGATGAATGGGCACCCTCCTCTAAGCCGCGATTCGGGGCCGGAGCTCCGTTCACCTCTGGCTCTGCCATGTTCAATACATGGCCCTTGAGGTCTTGGCGAGGTCTCCGTGAGGTCTGTGTCAAGCTGGCCCCATGACAGGGCACGAAGGAGCAGGCAGGAGTTTTGGGGAGCAACCTGGCCACAGCACCCCAATCCACACGGTCCACTGGCCAGAACTTTCACATGCCCGTGACGTGCAGAGGGCTGGGCAGTGTAGCCCAGCTGTGGGCCCGGGAGGTAGAAGAGCTGGGTCTGGGGGCTGCCGCCCAGTTCTGGCCACCCACCCCGGCTCCATCTCCGCCCCAGCTCCAGCCTTCCCAGGCCTCTCCCTTCTTTCCCACCCACTCTGGCCTTGCCCTCCGGACCCCATCTTCCCCGCTTGCCTCGAGACCCATTTCCCTGAAGCTTCACTGGGCACAGGCCCAGGCCCAAGAAAGGACCAGTCCCAGACACGCAGAGAGGCACACACAGCAGGTTTATTCCTGGTGAGCTTAGCGAACCGCAGCGCAGGGCAGGAGCAGACGTGCAGCGGCGCAGGCAGGGCGGGGCCTCTCCTGCCACTCTCTCTCCCCTGCCTGTACACAGACACGCAGCGGGGATTGGGAAGGGGCGGGCAGTGGGGGCTGAGGAAGAAAGGTGGGTTGGGAGGCAAGACCCAGCTCTGCTGGCATGGGGTGGTGGGGAAGAGCCCCAGACTGGGGTCTGGAAGGCAGAGCCCCTCCCTCCTTGCCCTCCTGCCCAGGCGGTAGCTGGGCTCCCACAGAGCCATGGGGAGCTCCCACCTGAAGTACAGGACCGGGAAAAAAACCCCTGTCGGATGGCACCTGAGCTGCCAAAGGTCACCTTCCTTTCCGGACAGTTCTCCGGATTCTTGCCTCCTGTCTGGGGTGCCACCAGGAGGGCCAAAGCTGCCCTTCCTTTCAGGATCAAGTAGGACAGTTCCAAAGGGCCTGGGCAGGCGAGGTGCAAGGTGCCCGGAGCTCGCCGTTTCGCCCCTGCTCACCCGAGAAGGTGGGCAGATGGAAGAGCCCCATCTGCCCCCAGCCCCATGCCACCTCTACCACCAAAACCCTCTCCTCCTTCTGGGCCAAGAAGGGATGCCAGGGAGACAAAACGGCAGGCAGGGAGAAGCTTTGGGGATCAGGGGAACCCAGATGCCCCTTCCTGAAGGAAAAGCCACCCCTTCTGCAGGTCAGTAGGGGACTGAGACCAGCCCTGCTCCATCACCTCTCCAGAAGGGACAAAGGGACAAAGACCAAGACGCAAGGAGGTCTGCGGAGCCTGGGCTACATGGCAGACACAGAGGGGCCACCAGGCTGGGTCGCCTTCTACTCGCTGCTCCAGCCTCGACTCATGGCCTGCACCACGGCCCCGTAGAGCTGGCTCCAGGCGGCCCGCGTGGCCGGTGTGAAGGCGGGGCCCAGGCACCTCTCCAGCATGTAGAGCAGGGACTCGCCCACTGTCTGCAGAGGAAGGGGACCGTGTCACTCTGGAGACGACTGAGGCCTTGGGCCCGGGTCTTTCGTCTTCCCTGCTCAGAGGACCTGCCAAAATACTTGGGAACTACATTGTGTTCCCCTTCTCCCCCTAAATGTGAGGCTTTACACTGACAAAGCATTTCATCCCACGCCTAGACATGCATTCACCCCATGGGGGGGGTCAAGGCATAGTTTGTGGCCCCCCCAGCTCAGACGGAACTAACTGATTGCCCCCGGGCCTCCATTTCCTCTTCTGTGAGGCAATCATGGGGTTAAGCGCCTAGAGTCCAGAGCTAGGCCAGAGCAGAGTTCAGATCCTGAGTCCACCATTCATGAGCTGGGAGACCTTGAGCAAGTTATGTAACATCGCTGAGCCTGTTGTTTCACCAGCAAAAAAGAGAAAGTAAGGGCCAGCAGGAGGCATGGAAGTTAAGGAGCTGGGCTCTCACATGGCTGATCATGGTTCGAGTCCCAAACCTGGTGGCTTAAAAATCATACCAGGCACATGTGCATGTGTGTGAAATCTCAGGAGAATAGTAGAGAAGGGATTGTGGCATGGCCATACCCCCAGGAGGTGATTTCTCACTTTCCCTCTCACTGTTTCTCTCTGTCTGTCTCTGGTGAGTACACATGCCCTAAAACCTTTAAAAATAATAATAAATAAATAAACCTGGAGAAAAAAGAGAGAGAGGGACCAGCAGTTGGCATAATGGCTATGTCGCTGGACTCCCACGTAGTTGACCACGGTTTGAGTCCCAGACTCGGTGGCTTAAACTCACGCTGGGCGCGTGTGCGTGCGTGTCCAAGATCCTGAGAAGAGAATGGAGGAGAAGGGATTGTGGCATGGCCATCCCCCCTGGGGGGTGATTTCTTGCTGAGAGAGAGAAAGGAAAAGTTCCAATTTATGGGCTTGTCAGGTTAATTAAATGGAATAATCCACAAAAAAACTCTTAACATGGTGTCTTAAGCGGTAAGACTTCAGTCTCTCATTTGTTATTAATCATAATTTTTAAAAGGTGGTTTATTTATTCCACAAATATTTACTAAAGGCCAGGCACCATACCTGCTGGGAGTGAAGAGAAGAGCAGGATCTCACAGCCCCTTCCTCACGTGCTTCCCCCGTCCAGGCGACTGGACTATGTGGTCGACTATCATATCAGTGGTCTCCAGTGAATCCCCAAGGATTCCTGCCCCACAGTGATACTGGGCTTCTCTATGTGACTGGCTTTGTCCAATGGATGGCCAAAGACAGACAGCTCAGAGGTTGACAGACCACCGGGGCCATTCTAGACCCAGAGGAACCCATGAGCGACTTCAGCTACACCGCGTAGAGCAGAACTACCCAGCTGAGCGCAGCCCCCCAGGTGTGTGTGTGTGTGTGTGTGTGTGTGTGTGTGTTTAGAGAGATTTTGCTACAGGGCATGTGTACTTGCAAGAGAGACAGAAAGACAGAAAGCAAGAAATCACCCATGCCACAGGGATGGCCATGCTGCAATTCCTTCTCCTCCATTCTCCTCTCAGAATTTTGGGCATGCACGCACACGCACACAACGTGAGTTTTAAGCCTCCAGTTCTGGGACTCAAATCACGGTTGGCTACGTGGGAGTCCAACGGCATAACCATTATGCCATCTGCTGGCCTCAGAAATAGTTGTTTTAAACCAGAACGTTTTGGGGTAATTTCATACCAGCAATAGAAAACTGGCAGGTCAGCAAATCCCAAAGGCTTCTTAAATTTTATGGTTCTAAGAGAAGAAAAGAGAACGTGTAGGCTCAGAGAGGGCAGGCCAGTGCCAGGGTCACACAGCAGGTAAACAAAAGATAGGCCCCCACCCCTGGTCAAGTGACGGTATGGGCAAGGGGAGAGACCAGCGGAATATAGAATTGGCACAGAATGGTGGCCCAGGTTGGCAGCTGTGGAGAGGATGAGCCCCTTTACCCACCGAGAACGAGCTGAGCTTCACACCCACTGCCCGGTGCTTCCTGCCCAAGCCGGCAAGGTACTCCTCCAGCGACGACAGGTCCTCCACGTTGGTCACCGCAGCATCAATCACCAGCATCACCTGCCAACACGGAAGCAGCAGTGAAGGCCCAGCGCACCCAGCCTGCTCACAACTGCAGCCCAGAACCCTTGGTCCCAGCCACCTGGACCCTCGGTTTCCCAGGGTCAGGGGTGAGAGGCAGCCAAACTGCTACTGTCACGCCCACGAGGAAGTCTCTCCTCTGAGGGTCAAAAAGCCCTAAGCACACCTGCCAGACAGTGTGGTCTGCCTGGGGCGAGGGGAAACTGTGAGAGTCACCAGCCTCTAGGAAGACCCCAGCCTGGTTTTCATAGGCCGCCCCAGCAGCAGGGGTCAGCGCCAATGAGAGCCGTGCCTGTGGGCAATGATGGAGGCTGAGCATAGGAGTGGCTCTGGAGGGCCAGACGGGCTCAGTCCTGCCCCAAGGGAAGGTGGCAGATGTCCCTTCGTGGAGAAGCAGAAGGTGGGGAAGACCAGGCCCAGTGTGGAAAACGGAAGTCCTCTCCCTCTCTCGAGTCCCCCATTCTCTCCCAGGACGTGGCGGTGCTGGCTCCCAAAGGCCACCACACCTGCCCCCACCTCACCTTCCTGATGTGGTCCAGGAACTCGGGGGAGGAGAGACAGTCCTCCGGGCTGGAGAACTGGCGGCAGTTGTACTGGAAGAGGGGCAGCAGGTCGGGTTCCAGGGCGAACAGCCTGTGGGCAAGCCCAGGTGTCAGCCCCGGCCGTCCAGCAGCGGGGAGGCTGAGCCACCGTTCCAGCGCGCCCCGCTGCACACCCTCCAGCCTAGCACTGCCTCCTTTGGCAGCATTGCCAATGCCCTCCCCCCGCATGCCCTTCTGCCAGCTCTGAGGGGCATCCCGGAAAGGTCAGTGTGCCCCCAGGCCTCTTACAGGGTCTGGTGTGTGGTAGCCCCAACATAAATAGTTGAGGGCCTGGTTTGGTGCAGGAAGGGGGCCTGAAACAGGGAACCTGGAGTCACCTGTGGGCAAAGAAAAGCCCTTCTCCCTCTTTCACCCCTCCTTTGCTTCCTGCTCTTGGGTCAGAATGTCCTGGTCGCGCCATGGCTCCAAAAGCAGCGATGACCATAATGACACGCAGGGTGACCTTCCTGAACACTGGGTACTCCACGCGTGGTTCACCTGTAGTTGTGTATTCTTCACAATCCTCAAGAGTGGGTCCAAATGCCATCCCAATTTTACAGAGGGGGACACAAGCCCCGAGAGGCCAGGTGCCTTGCCTAGGGTCACACAGCTTGGACAGTGGAGCCACAGCAGACGCCTGAGAAAAAGTGAGCTCGGGCAAAGCTAGAGATGGGAGCCCAGAGACACTTGGCCAGCTTTGGGAGGAGGCACCGGATTTCCTGTAACTCTGAATTCATTCCTTTTGTCTTGGGGGATGTTTTGCCAATGCCTGGTCAGAAGTTTGGGGCCAGCTTAGGGAGCCCAGGCTCCTGGAAAGCCGTGAAGAAGGGGGCATTGCCTCATTGGTGAGAGCAGAAGGGTTACCCGGAGACCCCCAAGGTGAGGCTAACGACTGGCCTCAACTTCCTGGTGGGGCCGGTCCCTCTTACCCCCTCCTGGGTGGTGAGATCGGGCGTCTGACACCCCTCCCTCGCCAGTTCTGTCCTCACCTGGTCCTCTCCTGGACCCTCCGGGCTGGAGAACTGGCGGCAGTTGTACTGGAAGAGGGGCAGCAGGTCGGGTTCCAGGGCGAACAGCCTGTGGGCAAGCCCAGGTGTCAGCCCCGGCCGTCCAGCAGCCGGGAGGCTGAGCCACCGTTCCAGCGCGCCCCGCTGCACACCCTCCAGCCTAGCACTGCCTCCCTTGGCAGCATTGCCAATGCCCTCCCCCCGCATGCCCTTCTGCCAGCTCTGAGGGGCATCCCGGAAAGGTCAGTGTGCCCCCAGGCCTCTTACAGGGTCTGGTGTGTGGTAGCCCCAACATAAATAGTTGAGGGCCTGGTTTGGTGCAGGAAGGGGGCCTGAAACAGGGAACCTGGAGTCACCTGTGGGCAAAGAAAAGCCCTTCTCCCTCTTTCACCCCTCCTTTGCTTCCTGCTCTTGGGTCAGAATGTCCTGGTCGCGCCATGGCTCCAAAAGCAGCGATGACCATAATGACACGCAGGGTGACCTTCCTGAACACTGGGTACTCCACGCGTGGTTCACCTGTAGTTGTGTATTCTTCACAATCCTCAAGAGTGGGTCCAAATGCCATCCCAATTTTACAGAGGGGGACACAAGCCCCGAGAGGCCAGGTGCCTTGCCTAGGGTCACACAGCTTGGACAGTGGAGCCACAGCAGACGCCTGAGAAAAAGTGAGCTCGGGCAAAGCTAGAGATGGGAGCCCAGAGACACTTGGCCAGCTTTGGGAGGAGGCACCGGATTTCCTGTAACTCTGAATTCATTCCTTTTGTCTTGGGGGATGTTTTGCCAATGCCTGGTCAGAAGTTTGGGGCCAGCTTAGGGAGCCCAGGCTCCTGGAAAGCCGTGAAGAAGGGGGCATTGCCTCATTGGTGAGAGCAGAAGGGTTACCCGGAGACCCCCAAGGTGAGGCTAACGACTGGCCTCAACTTCCTGGTGGGGCCGGTCCCTCTTACCCCCTCCTGGGTGGTGAGATCGGGCGTCTGACACCCCTCCCTCGCCAGTTCTGTCCTCACCTGGTCCTCTCCTGGAAGGTTTATTCACCTGTAGATGCGAGGAGGGCACACTCCTGGGGCTGCAGGGGTGCCCAGGAGCCTGGCACACCCTCTTGGGACCTTCCCTCCGGGCATCCCAGTCTCCCCTTACCAGCAGCAGGGGACACCCTTGTCACTTCGGAGCGCTTCGCAAGCACAGGGCCCTGGAAGGGGCGCAGCTCGGGGACTTGCGTCGCCTGCCCTGGTATTGGGAGACGGGCGGGAAAGGCGCCCCCTGACCTACCCGAATGAGCCCAGTTGGGAGCGGGGTGTGAGATGCTGGCTTCGCTCCTTCGGCTGTGATTGCGCTTCTTGTGAGCAAGCACCCACGACCCAGCGAGGGCAGAAGGGACTGCGCCACCGGTGGCCGCACCCCGCTCCTCTGGCGCACATCTGGCAGGCGCCCCAGCGCCCCAGCAGCTGGCCCGCTTTCTTTCGTTCGGCGCGGGTCCGGCCACCTCGAACCCATTTGTGACAAGGCACCCTCCGCCTGCACCCCCCGGGGGCGCCCGGGGAGCCCTCACCTGGCGAACAGGACAGTGCCATGCTCCAGGGGGCTGCGGCTCACCGCCCGCCAGCTCTGCCGGATCAGCTCGGGCTCCGGGCGCTCCATGCTCTTCCGGGGACGCGGGCACAGGGCTGGGACCTTCGGGGCGCGGGCGCCCTCACCGCACGTGCCGCGCCATCTCCGTGGCGACGCGGGTCCCTTCGCACCCCCTACGGCGCCCGGACCTCTGCCGGGCGGGCTCCGGCCGCCGCGCCT